GCTTTAAAATATATATATATATATCTATATCTATATATATATAGACGCGCGCGCACACACACACACTCTACATATGAATAATACAATTAAAGATAATTATTTCTCTCCAAATCAATTCTCTACATTATTACTAGTTTAGGTTTTCCTAAGACTTGAAATTTTTTCAGATGAAACTGCTATTACTGGATTATAGGTATGTGATCAGAGTCTTAAAGTGATGATTCTAGTTAAAGTTTGGAAAAAAAATTAATTAGATCCAATCTAGAGGTTACTTTGAACAGCTTGGAAGTGCTTACTGTGATAAACTTCTATGTGAATTTAATTGAGCTTATTTAACTTAGTTCTTTTGATGGGATTTTTTAATATTGGCATTTCATACATACTACATAATTCTTATGTTTCATATCTAACATCTAAACTTTCATATTTACATACATATCACTCAAATACTTATTATCACATAAAGAATATCACTATTACTGATGAAGTACACCTTTTCTTGCATAAGTTTACCACACCAAATTGTTATAAATGTTAATATAGAACATTAGATGTTAAATATGTAAATACATAGAAATTTTGTGTTATGTATGTAAATTTTATTTTTTTAATACTAATCTTGGAAATTGGAGGTTGTCTTATTTAGAACCAGCATATGTAACTTCGTAGAATATATGATACTCTAGAAAGCACTGAAGTGGAAAGACTTTTCCGCATATTGATGCACTGTGAACTATAAAACATCAGATTCTCTATTCTATATTTTTTATACTTTTGATTTGTTGAAAATGCTTGATCTCTAATGTTTCTTACATGATGAATTGCCTTCTTAAAAGTATATTTTTTCTAAAATATATTAATGCGTAAATATACTGCTGCGTTCCACATGCTTTAACTTTTTGTAGTTTCTATAGTTTATTTGGAAGATAATGCAAAGTAAATGCTGTCAATTCGGTTGCATTTACTTGAGATTTGTGGAAAAAATTGAACCATGAAGTGTATTTTCATCTATGTGGCTTACTTTAAGCTAATTTTTTCACACAACCAAGCAACTCCTTAAATTTATGATTTGTTTAGAAATAACCTGCTTCAAAGTACCCCATATCATATTCAGCATACTGATATGGATAAATTTGGATGCCCAATCCATTGCACTAAGGAATTGGAAGGATTTAACATCCAGAAAACAAAAACTTCTTATGCGCCTAATCTATAGCTTATGCATGTTGGATACACACATGCCAGTGATTTGCTTATAGCCCAACAAGCTACAACCAGTAATAATTCACTTCTTAGAAGTACACTTTTTTAAAAATACGAGTCTATCGATTAAAATGAGACTTAGGTTTTGTTTGGGAAATTTTTTCTGGAGTAGTTACATAGATTCTCGTGGATAATTTCTTTTGGTTTTGTCGTTTGGAATTTTCAAATCAACACAATTCTTGGAAAAATAATGACAAATTACCTGTGAAAGTAATGTTTTATTTTGGCTGATGATTTTTTAAGGTGTCTATATTTTTCATATGCCAGGAAAAATATTGAGTTTTTTACTCGGTTTGCTCTTTTGGCCGTCTATTCATCTTACATTTTCTAAACGACTTTGTGGAACCTGAATTTCTTTTGTTTTAAATATGTTGGTCTAGGGTTGTTTGTATGGTTGGATTTCAAAGCTGTCATCTTAATGATTGTTACGAAGATTACTAGATAACTTTAACTGCTTATTTTAGTTGCAGCAAATCTGTGAGATGCACTTTTGGTCTAAGGAAAACAGATATGAACAGAGTGGCTAATTCTGATTGTGGATAAATTAATTAGGTCACTAAACATTTGATTTTATTTATACATGACACATGGTTGACTGATTAATATTACTAAAATATAACTCCATTATGTAGATTATATTACTTTCAGCTTTGTTTTTTGACCACTATTGATTGGTCATGTTGCAGGGTGTTGGTTTGAGGCCTAGCGTAATTGATGGAGCTATAAGTATCTCTGCAATTCAGGTTGTTCAAGGTCATACAGCTGAATTTTTTCTGTCTGATTTTCTTTAAACATGTGGGATTTCTATTTTTTGGAGAATTCATGGAACAATATGTTTCTTCAATTCTGGACAGCATTCATCAGCAGGTGTTCTTGTGCAGTCAGAACATGGATAATGCTAACTATGCATTTTATTAATTGCAGGCTAATTTCTTCTGCATTGCAAATGCTAGGAGCCCGTTTGGCATCAAATTTATTCTCTGTTTTTATTTTTTCTTTTGTTTTAAAAAAATATTTGTTTAGGGTTTGTTTGTGATCAATTTTATTTTTTCATTTATTTTTAAAAAATATTTGTTTAATGTATTTTTAATATTCTTTTAGTTTTTGTTTCTCAAAACAAATAAACATATTTTTTGAAAACTAAACAACTTTTAGGTTTTTTGAGTGTTCTAAAAAATAATCATATCTTAATCAAGCATATTTTGTTTCAAATCAAATCATAAACAAAATAAAATAAACAAAAAAATAAAACAAAAAAACAAAAGTGATCCCAAATAGCCCTTTAGTGTAATTTTTATTATGTTTTTAATTTTAAGTTTTTAAAATAAAGGAACTTATAACACTCAGAATAATTTTTGTGTATGTTGAGTGTTTTTAAATATAGTTATTGCAACCAAACAATTTTTATTTCAAATCAAAACATAAATAAAATAAAATAGAAATAAAAAATAAAAACTAAAAGCACCAATCCCCAAATAAATAAAATGATTGTTATCCACATCTACTTATATTATCAAATAATAACTTTTAGAAGCACACTTACTTCCATTCTATGCTTAATTAATCCTTCCATTTTTCATTTTTTCTTATTTTAAGTGCTTAATATTTAACCTTTTATGAAGTCATAACCTTAATGGGCGTTTGGGATCGGTTTTTATTTTTTTAGTTTATTTTATTTTTGTTTTAACATAAAAGAAAAACATATTTGGTACGCTGGTAATTTTTCTATTTTTAAAAATAATAAACAAAAAAATATGTTTGGAAAAAAAAAAATGTAATTATCCCCTCTACCACCTCCTCCTCTTATTCCTTCCTCAACCCCCTCCCCCACCGCCACCTTGACCCCCATTGAACAGCTCTAATTCATTCCTCCACTGCCGCCGCCGAAAGCAGTCGGAGCTTCTTCACTAGCGAAAACACCTACAGCTGGCGAGTTCCACTTTGATTTCTCTCACTGTTTCTTATCTCTCCACCACCACACTCGTTGGATTCTCTAGGGTGGTGCCAGCCGGTGGTGCAAAGTAAGGAGAAGAAGGAGAGCAGAAAGAGCTGATGAAGAAGAAGAAGAAGAAGCAACACTGGTAGAGAAGAAGGCATCAGAGATGGCATTGGTGCTGGCGTCCGCATCTTAGGCATTCGTGTCAGCATCACCGGCGAAGAAGGCATCGACATCGAAGGCATCAGGGGATTGGTGGGAAGCTGTTTTAAAAACATAAGAAACAGGTTTTAGTTGTTTTGTATTTTTGAAAAATAAAAAAGAATTTGTTAAAAAAAAAAGGAAACAAACATATTTTTTGTTTTATTTTCTGTTCTTTGAAAACAAAAACAAAAAACATGAAACAGAAAATGGTTCCAAACAGGGCCTTTGCTTTGTTTTTGAATATATTTTCTTGTACTTCTTTTCGTCTTTAGAATTGTTAGATTTTAGATTTAAATATGAAGTTAGTGCTGTTAAAATGTCCTACAGCTAAAATGACACTTTTCTTGAAGAAAGACGAGCTAACCATTGTTGATTATTATTTCCATCCAAACAATTACGGCTACCATTGAACCAAAGAACCAAGGATGACATGATCATCACTTTAGAATTCTTATACATCTGGCTAGCCTTCAACTCTTTGATTTTTTTTTTTGTGGGCTAATGTATTTGTCTTTAAGAAACCCGTGCTGCTGTAAGAACACAATTGAAACTCATGCTGTACTGGTCTGGATACTTATGTTTAACCCAACTATTATAGTAGTGCTGATGTTTTTTTACTATATATTTTGACAGTTATGATTATAACCTTGGCTGATGTTTTGTATTTAATTCAAGCCTTACTGATCTTGCAGTGGTTGTGTTATGCTGACAACTCCTCTCATGAACCAGTTGCGAGATTGAAGTATGTATTTCTCTGTAGGAATCAACTTACTAGAGTTAATCTTCCCATTATCTTTTTCTAACTGGTGCTTTTTTTAATGCCCTTTAATCTGTTTTTTTTTTTTTTTTTTTTGCAGAGCTTTTTTTGGGTCATTGTATCGGTGCTTAACAAGGGGTGCAAGAGCAGTTCTGCAACTTTATTCTGAAAATATGAATCAGAGTGAGATGATTATGAAAGCTGCCATGCGTGCTGGTTTTGCTGGTGGAGTGGTAGTTGATTTTCCTCACAGGTATATGCTAATTTATGTTCTCAGATTCTGACAGACTAGAGTTGTTTATCCTCATTTGTTTTGTGAGTTGACCACTTTCTTTGCCCACCTTTATGCTTTTTGATTCTTTCTTTAGTCATTTTTTGCATGAAAAATTGGCTGGCGTTTCCAGTTTCTTAAGATTATGTTTTTCTACAAGCTGGAAATGCCAAGTATCTGTTATATCGACCTGTTATTGGGACAGAAAGGAACTATGCTAACTATTTAAAAAAGAGAAATTTATTTAAACCAAAAGCTTAGAAGTTGGCTCTAAATTGATGCAGCTATGTTTAGGTGAATGTTTACATATCTGACACCTATTTTAATTTTTACATATTTTTATTTCACTCAAAGCTTTAACATTACCTTAAAAATACCACTATTACTAGCCTTTTTAAAAGAGGATTACACCTCTCAATGCATAGGTTTATGACGCATCATGCGTGTAAATATTAAACTTTCGATGCTAGATACGCAAATATAAAAGAACTGTGTGGTATGTGGATTTCCCTTTTTTGAAATCAGTATCCTGTATGCTAACTATTTAACTTTCACAGTACGAAAGCTAGGAAGGCTTACCTTGTTCTAACTTGCGGACCAGCTTCCATGCAAACATCCCTTCCAAAAGGCAAAGCTGAAGATGGAGAATCATGCAGTGATGACGATGAAAGTGACGATGATGATGAACAAACGGTAAGTATAAATCAGATACCGGTTCTTTTTCTCCCACCTACACTTGAGTACCAACTTGACCTAATCTTTCCCATTTGGTTTACAAAGCTAGGTCGCACACGATGCTGAAAAATTATATGGAAATTTACATACCTAGAACACAATTCCTATCTATTTATTTATCTCACGCCCGAACATTCATATTTACATACACAGCACTTGGTGCTTTAAACCTATGCATGCAAATGTATATTTTATTTTTAAAAAATTGTAATAGTACTATTTGATGTTATATTAAAGAGTTGTGCTATGTTTGTAAATGTGAAATTTTAGATTTGAGTTATGTAAATGCATAAGAATTGTGTGCTATGTATGGCATGCGCCAGAATTATAATGTAGGTGTTACATAGTAACATCAGAGGTAAAGAGGAGAGAGAGAAGAGAGCCTTATATGTAAATGAATCGGTGTATCAATCACACAATCTCTTTATTTTCTGCCTCTATCGTATTTAGTTGTGTACAACTTCCAGATTGCTCATTCACACCTAATAATTTCATGAACTTATTGCACCTTCTCTAACACTGGGAAATTTTAGAATAGTGTGTTCGAAATACCATGTGATGTTTCTTATCTTTTAGTTTAAAAGATAGACTTTAATTTTGGATATCTCTTGTACATTTTTTCTTTTTTTTGATATTTGAGCGCTTTTTAGAGAGGTATTAGAAACATTATCACCTAAATATATAGTTGCGTTAAGTGGATTTTATACCTCAACAACATCAACAACAACAAAACCTTTATCCCGTTAAGTGGGGTCGGCTACATGAATCATTTTACTCCATTGCGTCCTATTTAGTGTCATATTTTCATTTATATCTAATAAATTAAGATCATTTTTTATACAATAAGCCCAAGTCATCCTAGGTCTACCTCTGGCTTTCTTAAAATAAGCCGAATCTAAAACATTTACTCTTTTAATCGGATCATCAGATGGTCATGGTTTAATTTGACCATACCATCTAAGACGACCTTTTTTAATTTTATCTGTCACTGGAGCTACACCAACCCTATCACGGATATGTTCATTTTACATTTTGTCTCTAAGTGTAAAGCCACTCATCCACCCAATCATTCTCATTTCAACAACACTTAACTTAGTTTTATGCTTCTCTTTTAAAGGCCAACACTCAACGCCATAGAGCATTGCAGGCCTCACCACCATCTTATAAAATTTTCCTTTTAGTCTAAGCGGTACTTTTCTATCACATAATAGGTCTCTGATGCATTCCTCCACTTTAACCAACCAAAGGTCCGATGCATTCCTTCACTTCAACCAACCAACTTGAATTCTACTAATAACATCTCCATCAACATCTAATTCTACTAATAACATCTCCATCAATATCACCATCACTTTGAACAATAAACCATAGATATCTAAAGCGTTCACACCTTTTAATAATTTGCCATAGTTATATTATATTTTTGTCACTAGAGCTACTACTATTAAAATTACATTCCATGCGCTCATTTTTAGTTCTACTCAAACGAAGGCCTTTAAACTTCAAGGTAAACCTCCATAATTCAAGTTTTTCCTGAGTTTTTTCTCTCTTTATATCCATGAGAAGGGTATCATCAGCAAAAAGCATACCTTAAGGTACATCCTTCTGTAAGTTTCCAATAAGACCATCCATAACTAAGGCAAAAAGATATGGGCTTAAAGCTGATCTTTGATGTAAACCAACAAAAATACAAAAATATTTGGTCAATCTTCTTTCTGTTCGAACACGAGCAACAGTTCTTATGTGTACATATCTTTAATGACTTGAATATAAGTCATATCAACACCTTTATTCTCAAGAACTCTCCAAAGGATATCTCTTGGAATCTTTATCATAAGCTTTTTCTTAATCAATAAAAATCATATGTTGATTCTCCTTGTTATCTTTGAACTTCTCCATCAAACCTCCCAATAAATTCTCAATAAATTTTTGAACTTCTCAATCAAACCTCTCAATAAATTTATAGCTTCCATAGTAGACCTGCTCGACATAAATCCAAATTGATTATGAGAAATCTTTGTCCTATATTCAATTACTTATTCAATTACTCTCTCTCATAATTTTAAAGTTTGACACATCAACTTAATTCTTGTATGATTTGCACACTCTTGTGCATTTTTTTTATTCTTAGAAATGAGGACCAAAATACACATCCTCCATCCCTCCAGCATCTTTTTAGTTTTAAAAATAATATTAAAGAGTTTAGTAAGCCAAGAAAGTCTCAAATCTCCTATATATTTCCATAATTCAATTGGGATATCATCAGGTTCTACAGACTTTCTATCCTTGGTTTTTCTTAAAGCCATCTCATCTTCTTTTTTTACTAATGCAATGATAAAAATAAAATATTTTATTATTATTAACAATATTAAGATCATTAAAGTTCATATTTTTCAAAATTTCATTAGAAAGTATCAAAATAACTCACCCACCCATTTTGAATATCTTTTTGTAAGAAAAACACTTTTTGATTTTCATCTTTAATACACTTTAGTTGAGTTAAATCTTTGTTTTTCCTTTCTCTTTATTTGGCTAGTTTATATGTATTTTTTCACCCTCTTTAGTTTCTAATCTATAATAAAGACCACTAAAAATAGAATTTTTAGCGTCACAGATTGTTCTATTAGACGCCTTATGGGTTGTTTGATATTTTTTTTCAGTTCTCTAAACTATTTCATTTAAACCAATTTTTATATCATGTCTTCTTATTTTTTATCTTTTTTTGCACATTATTATTCCACTACCAACTATTGTTATTTATAGCAACTTTTTCTTTTGACTCTCCAAGAACAACTTTTGCCACATGTTTTATAATTTTTGTTACTTTATCCCTTATAGAATTTGTTTCTTCATGAACATTCCAAATTTTAAAATCATGAATTTGACTCATAAAAATAATTTTATTTGTGTCTTTTAAGTACCCTCATCTAATTTTACGACGATGATTCCTAGTATTCTTTATTTTATAACTCTTCATCTTAAAATCTAGAACTAATAATCGATGCTGAGTACTAAAATCCTCATTTAGAATGATCTTACAATCTTTACATTCTCAACGATCTCTTCTCATAAGAAAATAATCAACTTGTATTTTATTAGATTTAGTTTTATAAGTAATAATATGCTAATATCTTTTCTTGAATAAAGTATTAATAATAATAAAATTATATGCTAAAACAAAATCTAATATAGCTCTACCTTCTTCATTAATCACTTCAAAACCATAGCCACCATGATAAATTTCAAAATTTTCTACCACATTTTCATTTAAATTTCCTCCAATAAAAATTCTTTCTTCAAGATGTATCTTTTGTATAAAGTTCTCTAAGTCATTCCAGAATTTATCTTTAGAACCTATATTCAAACCAACTTGAGGAGCATGAGCACTTATAATATTAAAAATTTTAGTTTCAAAAATAATCTTAAGGGCTATAATTCTATCTCAAACTCTATTAATTTTTACCATATTATCTTTCAAACTCTTATCTATAATTACACCTATCCCATTTTTAATGCGACTCTTACTTGAATACCAAAATTTTAAATCTAAGTTATCAATCTCCTTAGTCTTTTCTCTAACCATTTTAGTTTCTTGAACTCATAAGATATTTATCTTTCTATGAATCATATATCAACTAATTCCAATAATTTACTAGTAAGAGTATTTATATTTCAAGATACTATTTTAATATTAGTTTCATAGACTAACTTATTTATCCGTATTCGTCTATAATGTGAGAACCCTTGTTTATTTGACAATACACTTGGGCGTTGGTGTAGTGGCCCTTGAACACTTTTGACTGTATTCTAATCATATAATGTGTCGCTTCCAGGGGAACGCCCTAGCACTTAAACAATGATGAAAATGATTCATGTCATGATTTTTTTGACAAGTTTTACACTAGCTGTCGACTACCTAACACAACTCTCTACTTTTTACATCCGTGTTTGGGACCGTAAATGATAGTGTTTAACTGGATATTATACCTAATCAATTTTATTTGGCGCATTTACATACATACCACACAATTTTTATGTATTTACATACATAACACACAATTTTTATGTATTTACATATCTCACATAGGCATTCATGTTGACATGTATGCCACTGAAATGTTTAACATCAAATTAAAAATACCACATTTGTTAGCTTTTTAAAAGTGATATACATATTTTAATGCATATATTTATGACAGGAAGTTGTTGTAATTGTAAATATCGAACTTTCGGTGTTAGATATGTAAATACATAAGAATTAAGTGGTATGTATGTATGCAAATTTCCCATTTTATTTCAAGTTCTCCTTTGTTTTATTCTCTATTGATATTATGCTCTTATGTTTATGAAATATTGTGCTCCACCATTTAATAATTAAGTTTATTTATATTAATTTAGAAATTATAATTATAATCTATGATACACAGACACTTCTAATTAAGGAGCATATATATATATATATATAGTATAATTGTTTTTTTGACATGTGTCAGTGTCCAATATTTTTAATAATAGAAGTGTTTGATGTCGGTGTCGGTGTTGTGTTGTGTTTGTGTCCGTGTCTGTATTTGTACAATTTATAGTATGATAGATGTGATTTTTTAATCATATATCTACCTATGATTTTTTAGTTGATATGAACTTTTGTTTGATTTATGCAGGTTGGTATATATGATAGACATCGACCAGCAAAAAGGTCTAAAATAGCTAAGATGGGCAAAGGGAAAGGCAAAGGCAAAGCTTGGGTGCTTAAAAAGAAGAACCAAATGAGGAACAAAGGATACTCTGTCCCTCCAGATACCAAATACACAGCCCGGAAGAGGAAGGATCGCTTCTAAATGCTTTCAGAAGCGAGTTTAAATCATCAGCAGTGTTTTACTGTAATTTTTTCTTTTACTCGGTATTTATTTGATGACGCTTTCTCCTGTTTATGGCACATTTGTTGGAATTTTTTTTTTATAAAAAAATAAATTTTTTTTTTTATAAAAAAATAAATTTTTTTTTTTGTTTTTTGAGCTGCAGAATTGTTGTTGATTTGCTTGCGTATTTCTTATTCAGGGCTTGGTTGATCAATTGTTGATAGAAAATGTTATTTTATAAAATTATGATTTTATTTTGGGCTATTTGATTACATACCACCCTATTGTCACATCCCAAAAGAGCCCTTAAGAGAGGTGGGCAACTTAGGACTTAAATACTGTTTTTTGGCTCTACACCTAGCCGATGTGAGACTATTTGTCCGTGACATTCTTCTCCACCCAATCACGTGACGCCCTCGTCACGGATCGGCTCTACCGAGAGTCCTACTGGACCGTAGAGAGTCCACACACCTGACAGGCGATAATCTGCTCTGATACCACTTGTCACCTACCAAAAGAGCTCTTTATGGGTGGTGGGCAGCCCAGGACTTAAACATTACTTTTCGGCCCTACACTTAGCTGATGTGAGACTATTTGTCCGTGACGCTATGCTTATGATTTTATCACCCAACACACAAAAACATTGCTATTTACAAATCTAGCACTCTCGATCATCTATTTTCCAAATTCATTCTCAAATATCAAAATTCATGATAAAAACCAGATCTATATTTTTCATCTTTATTTCACCTAAATGCATCGGTTTGAGAGTTTTAAGAAAATTATTTGGGTGTTAATTTTGCAAATAGCAATGTTTCCAAGTGATGTGTATGTAATCATTCCTTTTATTTTCTTAATGTGATCATCACTAATTTCTTACAAGTGAAATACGATAAAATGAAATTAATGCAAATATCAGAATTTAAGATTTCCTCGAATGGTTTATGGCGATTGAAATGAATTTGTCTGGTCGGCTGTCCATCTTGCTTGAAATTGCTTCAACAAAAAGAGGAATATTTACATACATACCATCGCATTCCTATATATTTACATATCTAAGACCTAAACAATAATTTTTACACACATGCCACTTTTAAGTATGCACGAAAAATGTATTTCACTCTTTTCAAAGTTAAAATGATGATTTTTTTTTGTGTAAAGAAGGGTTTGGTTGGCATAAATGTAAAAATTAAAGTTTAGGTGTTCGATACATAAATATATAGGAATTGAGTGGTAAGTATGTAAATGCCTCAAATTTATAGCTCTTTACTTCCTAAACTAGGAGAATCTTTGGTAATAATGTTCAACTATTTTAAGCCTCATTTTTAAGTTGGTGCATAGCATTAGGGTTGTCAAATTGATTTGTCGTTCGCGAACTAACGAGCAGAACATGAATAAATATTTGTTCGTTCATGTTTGGCTTGAATTGCCTTGAAAATATATATATATATATATTAAGGAGAATTATAGGTCACCTTACGTGTTAATTAGCAAAAAGAGGTACAGAGTTTATTTAAGGAGAGGTTCTCCAACTAAAAAGCCAAAAAAAAATACAATACACACTCAAAGACGGGGGATCCTCAATCAAGTACAACTCCACCCAAAACCAAAGAAAAAAGTATCCCAAACCAAAAAGTATACCCGAGATTTACAAATATACCAACATAAAAAAAAAAAAAAACATAAAAAAAGTCATAATATTAAGGACAAACATAAGCCAAAATAAAAAAAAGGAAAGGAAGTAGCCGCTTGTGGTAGTAGATATACAAAAATACCAAAATTGCATCCTAGTAGATTTGAAGAGTGAAGGAGAGGATCCAAAGTACTTGGTAGAAAATTGAGAGGTTGGAAAATGAAGAATCCCTTGTAAATATTTTGATTTTCACTTGCAAGATAGCAAAACCAGCACAGTAAAAAATGTTGGCAGAAAATCAGAAAACAAGAAACACAAAACTTTCATAAAATCCTAGTAAAGAAGCCTTGGATGAATCAATAATAAGGCCGCAACAGGCACCCCCTCGAAAAGCCAAAGCTTGCACCCCATTGTAAATCTAGAAAGCTGTCTGTACGAAGCACAACAATTAACAATACTCCCATAGATGCATTATGAAACAGTACTGCTCAGCAGGTGCAATAAGAGCAGGCTAGTCCCCAAGCTCTCAATCCTTCAGCAATGAATACCATAGAAAAAGTAGCGAAGCCAATAAGAAGGGCCACTAATATCCATAACCAAAAAAAGGTGACCTCTCCCAAATAGTAACTTGAGGAAAAAGCTTCTAAATGAGCCATAAAAAGAAGTATGCAGAAAATTCTGCATGAGTAAATTAAAACAAAGACAAAACCATGAAGTCACCAAAGAGCAGGGATTGAAACGAACCAAAAACATCCAAAAACCAAATCCAAAGTTAGATATGAAATTCTAGCAGGCATATAACCAGCCAATCACAGACCAAACCCAAAAACCAAAGACCACAATCAAAACAAAAGTAAAGTTAAAGAAACAACCCATATAAGCAAAGACTTTAAGCTCGCTAAAAGGCGGCTGCCAAAAGATCACTTTGAATAAGAGAGTTGAGAGGGCTAGGAGGAGTGTCACCAATGATAATGCCAAATTGCCCCTTCTTAGCTAACCAATCCGTAGGGGCATTACCTTCTCTGTGAATAAACGTATATTGGATATCAATATGAGTAGTCGCCACCACATTTTTGATCTGGTTCAACAAAATTATAAGATTCCAGAGGGGTTTTATCTTACCCGTTAACATATTAAACATTTAATGGGAATCAGTTTCTATCACAATATTTAAAAAACCAAAAGCCACAACAACTTGCAAAGCTGCCAAAACATCAAATGTTTCAGTTTCCAGAGGAGACAAAGCAATGCAGGGGGAGGCAAAGAAAACAAGGCATTGCCCCTTAATTTTCTTAAATAAGCCTCCTATCCCTACAACTTCCCTATTTAAACTGTCATCAATATTTACTTTAATCCAACCATGGGAAGGTGGTCTCCAATTTATCAAAATTGGTCTCCTACTAGTTCTAGGTTGAAAGGAGTTATAGGCATCGCTAGCAGCTTTCGAAGCTTTAAGGAAATTATCCACAATATGAGCAGCAATATTATAAGGCGTATGGTGAGAAACTTCATATATGTGACTATTTCTAACAACCCAAAGGAACCACAAAACTATTAGAGGAAAGTAGAAAAGTTTGTTTTGAGAATGCTCAGTTTCTTTCCAGACGACACCAATACTTTTTAGGCATAAATTAGAGGGCCAATGTATGCCAATGTAGCACCCCAGCTGTTGCCAAACTTCTCTAGAAAATGTGCAATCATTAAAAAGGTGTGTAGAAGATTCAACCTCTTTCTTACAAACATAGCAAATGGAAGCAATCCTCAAACCCTTCATTTAAGTATATCATCAAGAGGAAAAAAATTATGAAATAGTCTCCAAAGAAAGAAGGAGATAGATGGAGAGATATATTGGTGCCAAATATAATTACTCCATTTCCATTGAGGAAAGTTGTACAGATGAGAATATATCATTTTAGTGATGGATACTCTAGATTGAAATTTCCAAATAGGGACATCTGTAGTACCAGTATTTATAGGAATATTAGCAATAGAAGGGGCCACCTCCCCAACCAAAGACAACAGTTTAGGCATATTCCAGCCACACTCCATCCAACAATCCAACACCATAAGATTAGCCTGAGATGGAGAATGAGGCATATTCAAGAAAAGAGATGTTCCCCAATGATAATTCCAAAAAGAAATTCTCCTATCCCCCACATCCCAAAAAATGAATTGAGAGGCTATATTACGGGCAAGAGTAATGACCTTCCAAATCTTAGAATCCCCCTTTTCCAAGTGACAGTGGAAGGGTGACTGATATGCCTAAAATATATAGTATTTTTAGACACATTTTTATACATATTTTTGAGATATTGCGCTTTAATGGAAGATATTTTTGTATTTTCTTTTTTAATGTTTTTCTGTTCGAGGTACAGGTAAAAAGGTGAAAATTGCTTAAAGGAGTCAAAAATGATCAAACTTGGAGCAAATAGGTGAAAAATGTGCAAAAGTGTTTTGGCGCCTAAGCGCCAAATCCGGCGCTTACGCACCAGGTAAATAGAGAAGGTCGCGCCTAAGAGCCAGTGACAGTTATTAGACGAGTAAATTTGGTTTTTGTGAATTTTGAAGAGGTTTTTGAGACACCTATTGACTTAATAGGTGATTACAACCACCATAGACAAAAATTATTGTGAAAGGATGCATCTCTTGGGGAAATACATCGAATCGAGACATATTTTGAAGAGATACCAGAGCACCTTTTGGAGAATTATAAAAGAAAAAAGATTGGGATTTTGAAAGAGGTCCTGAAAGTACTGGAAAAGTTTTGAAAGTTCAAAAATTGGGGAGCTAGTTGGAGAGATTTTCAGGCACCACATATTTATCCTTTTTTTTAATTTTAATTTTATATTGAGAGTGTTGTAAAAGAGAAGAGATTCAAAGGAACTTCAAGAGTTTGGTGGAGGACTTGAGATAAGTTTTTATCTTTT